CATGCACGCACGGATCAGTTGTTGCCGCTGTACTATTTCAGCTTTCTAATTTGCGATTTCAGTGCATACAAGAGTTGATATATAAAAGTGATATAAGGCCCATTTGCCTGATGGGTTGCCAGGGATGGATGGCCATTATTTCGTCTCTATTTCTGGTTATATACTCGATGATGAAGCTTCATTCGCATCATGCGTGTTTTCGTTTGATCGAGTTTTACTTATTTGATAGAAATTGTTTTGGACAGATGTCGGGTGGTGAACGAGACTATAGGGCCGGATTATGGTCCATGATGTTTTATAAAGTCATGGAAGAAAAGTTGTTGTCTAGGATATTTGTAGTATAGTCCCGCAAGGTTGATAGTATGTTATAAATAATCCTGTATAATGTATTTTGCATTATTATAGTAAATAACAACTACTGCAGAATATAGCAGTTTCCTATTTCATTATTTCGAATATAATATAGCTGCCATGATCTTTAAGACGTATTGGTGTAACTTACAATTTGGAGATAAAAAGTTATTTACATGGCAATATTGTAATAGTGTTTGTAATTGAGACGTCCTTAATTAAGACCTTTATTCAGAATTCATTAGCAAACATTCTTAACCGTAGAGGGAGAATTGGGTAGATGGGCTCTATAAGTAATAAAAACCGTATAAGCGAGATAGATTTATGCACAGACATATCAGAATAAACGAGAAAATAATATTATTTTTTGTTCTACGTATGAGGTTTTGGTTGTATGACTCAACACTCATTGAGTCCAGCAAATCCTTCCGAGTGTTTAATGTGCATCGATTTTATGTGTTTTTAAGAAGTGTTTTACAAAGTTACTAAACATTCCTTTGTAGTAATTGACAATTATTGCAGCTCACAATAATGGTGCATTGTTATATTTTAGGCTGTACAAGCCGTACGGAACGAAAATTTTATTATTTTAGATGATATTTGAAGCGTTTTTCTTGATTGAAAGATTTTTGTTTGCATCGAATAAACCTCCTAAAATAAGGAGAATATCTTACTTTTGTCAAATATGTCCATCTCGCTTCTACCAGCAGTGTTTATGATACGCGAGAAAGAGATATCACAGATCAAATAAATAACGTATAAATTAAATTAGACAGGCTTAAGCTGATTTTAGGGATACCGTGTTTTTGCCACTATCTTTTCCCCAATTTATGGGTCATTTTAAATATTATATTTTTTTTTACTTTTCAATACTTTTTCAGTTCGAAATATGTATACTAAGTTAATACTATTCAAGGGCCAATAAAAAAGTATTGATTTGTCATAATTGTTTTATTTGGTTACAAAAACTCAACCAAGCTAAATGTGGTCTGGCGGATTCTCCCTCCTTAGACTCGGCAGATTTCATCATTAAATCTCTTATTATTTTAAATAAAGTCTGGATTTTATTCCATTTTATTAATTTATTTTAATGCAAGACTAATTCATTCCGATATTTTAGACCCTTAAAGTGTTAAAAATGTTTATATGTATAAGGATTTTCATTTTTCTTATAATCTATTTCACCGACTAACTCCGTAAACGGTGTTGGATAACGATATCGTATCTTATAACGTTTAACGCTAACGTTCTGAACAGCTCGAAAAGCGCCCTTCGATTCGAGAACGATGTCCAATCGAACGATTCGGTTAAAATATAGAAGAGTTCTGAATCGGGGGTGACTGAAGCGAACAAGATGCAGATTTGTTTTTTATTTATAACGACTTTTTTGCAGTAGCACCATCTGTGACAAAACTATGGAAGTTTTTATCGGATCGTGGTAATTTTTCTGTGTTCGATCTTTGTACAATTATAACAATGTTACTGTTACAATTTTAAAATTTTCAACCGTTTCTGACCTGTTACAAAATACTTTTTGTCTTTTGGCAAGTCGATGTTGTAGACGTTATTTTAATTCCTACTTTATATCTAATTCTTATTCACTCAAATATAAACTACTTGCTATGTCAGCGTGTGTAGTTTGGTAGCAGCAGGTTAAAACGTTATAATTAGATAAGTAGTGTCGTGAATAGGGTTACCATTCCGAAATTTAAATAATCCGGACAAAGGTACGGGTGCTGGTGAAAGGACTTGTCGGTTTCAGAGTGACAGGCGCAATGGCAGTGCCCCTCAGATCTTTACGATTTAAAGCTCTGAATGGTACTGCAACTGTCATGGATAGGCGTTGTCCTTACCACCAGGCGTACGGCTTGTAATTTAAATAAATTGCAAGTCCGGACTTTTTAGTAACAAAATACAATCGACAATATTTCTCTCACGCGGCCGCATTTAATCGTAAATAGAGTTTTATAATTGTGAGATGAATATTGGTAAGGCCATATACTTTATATTTGAGCTCGCATCCCCTTTTCCTTTCTCGTCTTAATCCGTGTTACGCCAAAGCCGCCTCAATCAACCGCCAGTGACATTAGAAAAAAATATAGTGTGACGTTACATTCAAACTAGAAAAATCTGTGTCCGCATTCATCGCAAATCTTTACTAACGAGGCACGTCTTCGCACGGCATTGAGCTGTATATCGCTAGTTTTCATGGTGGCGTTATTGGTGGCCGGCCGCATGTACAGAGAAACAGTGTGAACGATGTTATTGGTAGCATGGCTTCTCTTTACATTGCGAGCTCTCCACTACAGCGTCACCATTGTTACCCTGACATGTCCGGACAAATCCGGACGGATGGTAACCCTAGTCGTGATGTAAATAATTAATTTTCACCAAAATTGTAAGTTACGCCTTTCCCTGTTGTAAGAAATATGCCTATATGCCACTGTTGAATACGGCCACCGTAGTCGATGTTTCGTGGCTTCCTACTCGATTAATTTCGTAAAGATTTAACATGACAGTAGCGTCGGTAATTTTTATGATCTGCATCGACAGTGTACTCCTAAAGTGCAGTGTACAAAGAGCTCTTGCACGTATTAATATTATTGCAAGCAATTCTCAAAACGTCTATACTGTAAATTTAAAAATTTTAAAGTAAAAATTTCGTTTTTTCTTTAGGTTCCTATTTTTTTTAATAGTCGTCGAGGTCCACGTCGTCGAGCGGTTCGTCCAGTTGAAGAGATTGAAAATCGACTTTGTATCGAAGTATGCCTATTTCAGTTTAACCAAGAAAAAATTATTATGCCCAACATTATTTATGTTGAACCCAATTACATATGAGTGAAGTAAATTTCGCAATTATTTTGCCCAATTTTTAATGTAATACCCAATTTTATATTATATTACCCAATAATACGGTTAGTCCATCGTTGTGTCCAAGCGGCAAGAAAGAAAGAGAAATAATACATTAGTCATGTTAGTTTTTACAAAAAAAATATATAAATAAAATACATTATAACCCGATTCGCAAAACGGCCTAGTCGCATTTGGTCTTGGCTGATTTATTAATACGAATCAAGAAGAATATTTGAAGAAGGTAAAGTTTTCCTCTTTCTTGCGTTCAATGGCAATAACATTGTTCCCATAAAGGTCACAGAGTTGGCGATGAATGTTTAGCAAACAAAACCCGTTACCGAGCGCACTTCACACCTTGCGAAATTTTGAATTGAGGCACATATTTCAAACTGCTGAAAATAATGAGAAGCGAAAAAAACTTCTCGCTAGCACGGTTGAATGGCCACTGAACGGAGGAACACTCTGGCACATGGAAGCGTTAGTATCGCCCCAAGCGGCTACATAGCAAAACATAATCTACTTTCTGATCAGTCCTCGTGTAAAGTTGGAAAATAAATTTCTTGGGCACGGTAACGGGTCACGTTAAACCCTCTCCTTTATCCAAAGCAGTATTTAAATTATTTATAAATGAAATACAAAAATCAGTTTTGTAAGTGTTGATTATAACGTTCATTACAAAGGGAAATAAGGCGCATTTTCAAACGTTGTATTTTACGACCAATAGCGACATTGCCAATTTACGAAAAGAATTGAACTCATCAGGGTTTGGCTTTAGACGTATTTTTCTGAATAATTTATAAATTATTATGTATTTTCCTTTTTTTGAATAATGTTCAACGACGGCTGTCGGCCATCTATCCATACAAAAAACACGATTAGTTTGGGATAGGCATTCAATGAGATGCGTGGAGAATGAGATTCCGTGTAGCGCGGCATTCCGTACTGATCCTGCTTTTCTATTCATTATTATGGTATTCACGGAGTATGGGACACATGGAGGATGTCATAGGTATCCCATACTAAGTTTTTTTATGTGTAATACAGCATTAAATTGTGCTTTAGGCATTAGTATGGGACATATGGAGGATGTCATAGGTATCCCACACTAATCGTTTTTTGTATAAGTACGGGATGCAATCGGTATTTCATACTAAGTTTTTTTGTGAAGTACGTGGTGCACGGAGAAAGCAAAGAGCATCCATACTAACCGTATTTTGTGTTTGGGATGCATGAAAATGTGATTAGTATCCCATACTAAGTTTTTTTTTAAACTACAGGACACCTGAAAGGAGCAAACAGCATCCATACTAATCATGTTTTGTGCATTAGTATGGGATGCATGAAGGATACGATTGGTATCCTATATTACGCTTTTTTTTATATAAAGACGAGTTGCATAGAAGAAGCAAAGCAGTATGGGACACATGGAGGATGTCATAGGTATCCCATACTAAGTTTTTTTTGTGTGTAATACAGCATATATAATGTGTTTTAAGCATTAGTATAGGATGCATGTGGGATGTCGTCGGTATCCCAAACTAATTGTTTTTTCTATAAGGGATGCATGGAGGAAGCTAACAGCATCCATACTAATTGTGTTTTTGTATTATCAAGGGATGCGTGAAGGATGCAAACTGCATCCCGTACTAAAAGTGATTTTCGACATTATTACGAGATGCTAGAAGGATTTCAATAGCATTCTGTACTATATTAAAATTTTTGTATGGATAAACCGACGACTGTCGCCGATGAATGTCTTGACCCTTCTCAATAAGGTTGAAAATTAAATGACTTACCGCCAATGCCACCAAAGCCGCGCACAAACTGGCTGCCCTCCTGACTTTTGTCAGTGATGATCTCGAGTGTGGCACCGAAGGACTTGTAGTTGTTCGCCAGCCACTCCAACAGGGGCTGGCACTCCACTAGCTCCAATTCCACGCCCGTCTGTGGAATTGGCGATGTTGGAATTACGTTAACTAAATCCAGTGTGGGTGCACCGCGAGATTATGCTAATGAGTGCGTCCTGTTATACCAGACCCTGGGGAGCCTACCATAACCTTTCCAAAAACAATATTGTTTCAATGTACAGCAAGCTTATTATAATATAACTCATATTCGTACCATGACAAACCTGTCACCCAAGTTATGTATTATTGCTAAAGTGATAGAAAGAACGAATGATTTCTCAATATTATCTATACCTTACTAAAAATAGGAAAGAAATAACGCTATATGAACTATATAATGCCATCTCTTTCGTTTTTGATGTTCCGAATCATCTTATCGTGGTATAATGTTTAAGTACATAATGGTCTTCACAGATGCACTTTAATGAATTTTAACTGTTAAAAAAAGTATATAATAATAAAATCTATTAAAATTGCGTTGATTTCAATAATTATTCCGCATTTTCATGAAGAAAAATAAATAAAACAAGCTGAGTCTTGGTAGTCACGTTGTAAACTCGGAATTATAGTCTAGTGTCAACTGTTAGTATCGCCAGAGAGCATATAGATGTCGCTGTTATAACTTTACAAAATAAACATCACGTATTTTTATTTAACGAGAAATTATTTGCTATGTGCATACTATTAAATAAAAAGTGTTTATTTCAGTAAACAAAAATCAAATACACAGTATAACTGCAGCATCCTGAATGAGTTCTGTATTAATTATCAATACAAAGATCGAACACTCAGAAAAAACACTCAGAAAAAAATCCTTCGATCCGGTCGGACTCGAACCGACGTCTTCTTGCATACCGTGCCAGACGCTATACCAACTAAGCCACGGAACGAACCAACGGACCTCAAGAATTTTTCTATGTGCTTGCGGCGCGTCTTTGTACTTGGTCTTTCAACGATTTTTTAGTCGTAGCGCCATCTATGAGAAATCTTTGACAGATTTATCACCCAGTTAGTACCTTTACAGCTACCAGTCCTGGCGAGAGATGTCGCTATTCACTGTATTAATTAAATTTTTATCGAGTTCTGTATTATTAACCATTCTTGTCAACGAAAGATTTCCGCTACATGTACACCTACAATCAGGTGCATTAACTTAATTCACCTGAATTTGTTCACCTAGGTGCATTAAGTACACTTTTAGTAAACTTAAATCACCTGGGTGCATTACTCAGAACACTCATAATGCTGTAACCTAGTTGTTCGGCCCACTGCTGACACTACGGCGATCAGCTGCGAAAAGAGTACTTTAAGTTTATGCGGGGTCGCTAGATCGCTGCCCCTGCGCAGATTAAACCGCGCGTTGACATAGATCTGCCTCTCGGCCACCGCGTGATTACACAAGACTTTCACAAGGAGCTCTACCGCTATTAAACGTTTTTGCGACTACGAACCTCTTTGTCTGTGAAGTGCGACTTGTCCTTCTCCTGCTCGGGGGTGAGATGAAGAATGGTCTCCTGGTTGGTTGCGTGCTGCTTCAGCACGTATCTGAAAATTGAAATAGTCATTTGCATCACACTTGCTCGTTGCCACGATATACTTCCTCCTTACATAGGTCAGGTTCAAGTTCAAGCAAGGAGATTACTATATATCAAAATTAAAACATTCGCTTAAAATAGATTTTAAGACTTTCGTGGTTATTCACTAAATGATTATCACTAGTATCAGGTTTCTTACCACGGTATGACTACTTTTTATTTTCCCGATATTTCGGAACGGTTGCACGCTCCATGGTCACGGGTTGACTGGACGGCGACAGATGACAGCTTTATGAGCAGACAAATCTGTCTACCCTCTTGCGCTGTCGACGACTACCTTCATCGCGATTT